CCTCCGTACGCGTCGCCGAGCCTGGCAGTCGTCGCGGCTGGAAAGGATGAGCTTAAAACGCCCCTTGGTCCCGCTCGGAAGGAAGCGATTCTTGGTTCTGTCGGGAGAATCGTTACTGATTTTTTATTTCCCCGCAAGATTCGGTGAATGATTCAGCCTTTTCCCCCCAAGAAATCTGCTAAGAAATCTTCCCTGCTCTGCTTTCTAAATCTTATTCCAAGCAATTAATCTTCCCAAACAGTTGCAGGTCAACCACTTGAATTAGAAATTAAATCAGTTTTCTGTGAGCTTTATGTTACTGGCACCGGTTTTCTATTTTAGATCGCAGCAGCGCTCTGCCAGGATTAGGGGCGGTCTCAATACTGTTATGCCTGGAGGCACAGACTCATCTTTGAATGTTGCTTTGCAGAACCTTTTTGAGATTGTGTCAAAATGGAACGCGAGTGTATGGAGAAGATCAACAATTACTGTCAGAAGCAGAAACTTACGCTGGATTATGCCAGCATCAGGATGACCGGCCCACCTCATGATCCTGAGTAAGTTCACTATGCATGTCGATAAACATTGGGACTCTTCCTGCAATGAACACGCTGGGTAAAGCTTGCACTCATAAAAGTTAATTTGCTGAAAGTGTGTACGTGGCGGGAGAGCTGGTTTGAAGCCATAAATTGAGTGGTAGGTGGGTGGTAGAGTAGGTCATGTGATAGTTTGAGGAGAAAACTTATTTCAGAGTTGGTGGCTGGTTTTTAGAAAGCGACAGCAATGCACATTACTGGTAATGATATTGTAAGTATGTTATGCATCTACCATGAAGTCTCTCAGGAGGTGGGGTGGGTGGCAGCAAGTATTTCAGTTTATGATCTATGCTAACTTAAGTGCTTTGATTTTTATTTAGTTTTACAAAGTGTGGAAATTATTTGTGATTTATGTTGTTAATTTCTAATCATAAAGGTTGGGTGTATATTATTGATTGGGTACCAACATATTTTTTGTATAGTTAATTTTTCTGTTCCTAGAGAGGGTCTTTTGCTTAAGCTGTGTTGCCTTTACTTTTAGAGACAATTACAGGTGATGGAATATATTTTATTTTTTAACACAGATATGGTATTTTGCTCATTTTTTCCCCTTGCCAGAGATCATAGATACTCAAGATCTATGATGTTTCCTTGTGTGATTTTCTTTTTTAAATTTTTGCTAGTTTGCATAAAGACAAGCCTTACTTAATAATTAGTGTTTCTTTTAATGTTTTCTGTGTTGCCAGCCAACACTGTCTGTGCTGACTTACTCTTAGACCTGACTATAGTCCCAGCATAAATTAGTAAGTATTATCTGGGTCTCAAGTGTTAATCAGTTACCTTATTTTTTTTTTTCCCCATGTGGCTCACGTCGTTCAAAAAAGTAACCCTTATCACAGTAATGCCATTAAGGCTTGCTTCTGCAATGACTGCAAGCACTATTCTGCACCTGCATTGTTTTCCACCCAAACATTTCATTAAAGGGAAGTGGAGGGTGAAGTTGGAATACTGAAAAAAGTGAATTCCTGAAGTTATTCCACTATTTGAGACAAATTGTCCCATAGAGAAACTCATGGTGTTATACCTAGACTCTTTCTTCGTGTGTATCTATCTTGCTGACTGCGAGCTTGTGCACCTATATGCTCTGCTGCAATCTGAAGTAGAGACGTACCCCAAGGTTATAACGGGCACTTTAACTTGATGCAAGTCTGTGCCGCTGCCGAAAGCAGAAATCTAGTTGTTTTCTCCTCTGTTGCCTTTCGTGCAAAGGCAGTAGCAGAAACATTAGGGATTTTGCAGCTGCAGGGCAAGTCGGATCTGGGTAAGAACTGATCTGGCTGAAAACCAACCATTTGTTATTAGGTCACTGTGGTGGGGGGGGAGAGAATCGGAAGGGTGAAAGGGAGAAAAACTTGTGGGTCGAGGTAAAGACAGTATAATAAGTGAAGCAAAGCTGTATGTGCAGCCGAAGCAAAATAGGGAATTCACTCACTACTTCCCATTGGCAGGCGAATATTTAGCCATTTCCAGGAAAGCGGGGCTTCGTCATGTGTAACGGTTACTTGGGAAGGCAAACATTATAACCCCAAATGTCCCCTCTTCCTCCTTCCCCCAGCTTTTATTGCTGAGCGCGATGCCTTACGGCACGGAATAACCCTCTGGCCCGTTGCCCTGGTTGTGTCCCTTCCCAGCTTCTCACACCCCCAGCCTACTTGCTGGGAGGCCAGAGTGGGGAAAAAGAAAAGGCTTTGGTGGTGTGCAAACACTGCTCAGCAATAGGCAAAACGTTGTTGCGTTATCAACACTGGTTTAGTCCCAAATCCACAACATAGCACCATACCGGCTGCTGTGAAGAAGGTTAACTCCATCCCAGGCAGACCCAGTGCCGCCGGTCCCGAGCCGCATCCGTTCCCTGTTCTGACTCAGGGAGCTGCTGTATGGGGAGCAGTGCGTGCGCAGTTGTTCAGCGGAGGGGGAAGGGATTGGTGGTTGAGTGTGGAAGGGCAGGACTGTGGGTTTTTTTGTTTGTTTTTTTTGGAACTGCCTTTAAATCAATGTCTCATGAAGCACCAGACACGTTTTTTTGCATTTACTGAATAGTGTATGCAGCAGTGTATCAAAGGTGAGTGTAATGTCATGTCTGGATCCATGAAATCAAGCTTAGCTAATCTTTCCTCTCCATGTAGTTTTGCAGTGCTGAGATGTGTCCCGGTGTGAGGGCTTCACAACCTTTCCTGTAACAATGCTGACCCTATGCATTCTTTTGCTTTTGAAAATTTAAATTCTTTTGCTTTCAAAAAGCACTTAAGCATTTAAAAATGCTGTCAGAACTAATAAAGTACATGCATTTATGACTAGAGAGGAAACACTTCAAAAAATATTTCTACTAAAGAATTATGATAATCAGGAGTTAGATATAATAAAAACACATGCATTCTTATATACCTCCACAGTTAACTTATAGTGCTTTGTAGATAATAAAAAGAACATTGAATCTGTGAAGGTTGTTAAGTATATATGAGACAAAATGTAACAACGTTTTAGAAAAGTTTCCTTCCTTGCAGGTTCACAGTTGTTGTTAAAATAAATGATGTAGACTATGGTGCAGGCACTGGTAAAAGTAAGAAGGAAGCAAAAGCGGCAGCAGCAAAAAAAACCTGGGAAATGATTGAGAAACAGGTGAGTAAACTGTAGGATTTAATTTTTTCTTTTTGCTAGTAAAGGTTGAAGATGAATCTCTAAAAGTAGCCAATAAAATATCATTGTTTTCTTTAATTTGGAAGAACTTCTAATTATTTGTGTGTGTTCTGTCTTATTTAGCGCTTTTCTACTTTTTACCACTGAACTATTTTCCGTATTGTTCTACTACAGGGTTGGTATGTGATATTGAGGATGTTTCCTCCTCTGCTGTTATAGGAAGATGAGGAAATGTATTTGCTTTTGTTAAGCTGCCTTGGTATATCCAGAGTGGACAGTGTTCCTTTTTCATCTTGACAACTGTTCAGTAATTCGATGTCTTCAAAACGTTTGCAGGGTGTGTCTGTTGCCACTCTGCTCATAAAATTGCTTACGTTCACTCGATCTGATTCATCTTTGTTTCCTTTTCGTTATATTCTTTATGGTACAGTTGATTCTATACTCTTTATCCTTCCTTGATTTTAGGTTTGAATTTTTTCCTCTATTTTCTGCCATGTGTTTTGTGGTAGCCGTTCTTTATTTTTCTTTTTGACTCTAAATGCTTCTTAGCACCTTTTGAGTGAAATCTTTCCTTACCTGTTTCCATATCCTTTTTACGGTGTCACCATCATTACTTTAGCACAAGTGCTGCATGTTTGCTAATATATTATTAATGCTGCCTAATCATGAGACAGCTGAAAAGTCCTGCTTCCCCCTTGTACATGCACAGGAGCATTTGCAGCCCTTGCCAATGGCAGGATCAGCAGCATCCTGCTGCCTTCCCTTTTCTTGGGTCTGGTCAGGCTGTGAGAAAATTCAGAAGGCAGCATTCGCCTTTTTTTTTATGAGATATTTCACAGCATGTTCCCTGTCTTTTCTTAAAAGAGGTGGGAGGAGACATGCTGATAGGTTGTTAAAGACATTGGTGCAGTACTTGAAAAACAGGATTTACAGTTCTTTCGAAATTCAAAGTGTAATAATTCTGGGTTGGGGTGTCTGTCCTTTGCCACAAAGGTCTCCCTTAATCCAAACTTCGGATTTCTGAAAAACATTTTGAAATCCTGACAAACCTTGCAGCTATATTGGATCTCGTGCACTGTTTATCTCAAATCTATTCATTAAGCTTAAGTTTTTAAGTTACTGTTGTGGTTTAGCCCCAGCCGGCAACTAAGCACCACGCCGCTGCTTGCTCACTCCCCCTACCCCAATGGGATGGGGGAGAGAATTGGAGGAGTAAGAGTGAGAAACACTCCTGGGTTGAGATAAGAACAGTTTAATAATTGAAATAAAGTAAAATAGTAATGATAATAATAACAATAATAATGTACAAAGCAAGTGATGCACAATGCAATTGCTCACCACCCGCCGACCGATACCCAGACAGTTCCTCAGCAGCCATTGCTGCTCCCTGGCCAACCCCCCCCAGTTTATATACTGAGCATGATGTCATATGGTATGGAATAGCCCTTTGGTCAGTTTGGATCAACTGTTCTGGCTGTGCCCCCTCCCAGTTTCTTGTGTACCTGGCAGAGCATGGGAAGCTGCAAAGTCCTTGACTAGCATAAGCAGTACTCAGCAACAACTAAAAACATCAGTGTATTATCAACATTCTTCTCATCCTAAATCCAAACCACAGCACTATGCCTGCTGCTAGGAAGAAAATTAACTCTATCCCAGCCGAAACCAGGACAGTTACCTATTTTGTTTGTTTTATAGCAAGAGAGTCCTTCAAATGTGAAAGCTGCAGAATTAAAGACAACTCCAGTGACGTCATTACCTGTACCAGCCAGCAACTGTGCCAGCCTACAAAACAAGCATTCGCAAGGGACGTTGCAAATAGTTGATTATCCTAATAAAAAACGTACTGGAGATGCCCATGCTCCCATGTAAGATGCACGTTGTCTTCGTACTTGCTTTTAATACTTCTTTGTGTTTACTTACGCTACCGTTAGTTACCCTGACTAGTGTTAGATGAATCTTTATAAATACAATAAAAATTTGGAGGTAGTCTGGAGAAAATCCAGTGGAAGGCCATTAAGGTGGTTAAGGAGTGGGAGGATATGGCATATGAGGAGAGGCTAAGAGGACTGAGTTTGTTTGGCTGGGAGAAGAGATGGCATGATGATAAAATGGTAGTTGGTGTTGACAAATTGTCAGTTATCTTGGTTGTAGCTCTGGGACCTTTGTGGACGTCTTGGTGTGTATTTTGGAGACCCCTAGGAACGAAGTGCCAAGGAGAGCCTGTTTGTGTCCTCTTCTGTATGTATGGCAGTCAGTGAGTTGTAGAAACATTCCGGTTAATGACAGCTGAGGGATGATAACGAGTATCTACATAATTTAACTCCTTGACCATATCTGCTGGAAAACTCCTCTCTTCCTCTGCACAATCAGCCATTTTAAAACCTAAACTGCAGATAATTTGTGATCGTGGGTGCATATGATATGATGCTTTGAGGAATTCAACCTTTAAAAATGCTAAATAGTCACTCTCTGAAAATTGATTATCCTGAAGGCATATCAAATTAGTTATCTAGCATTGTTAATTAGATTAAATGTCTATTGGAAATACTGTTCTGAAGATGTGTATTTCAGATTTCTATTCTATAATGTCACTTGACTGTAGTGTTTAAAATCATTAAATTAAGACTTGTCATATGGGATATAAGACTTTATTCCCTGTTGTATTTTACAGGTTTTCTGGTAGCTGTACAAATAGTCATTCTGTGCATGGAATTGGCACTGGAACTTCTCTAGCTGCTGGAAAACATGCTGCTGGAATGCAAGTGTTTGAGAAGCTAAATAAGCAAGACGCTCTAACGGTATGTGCTATATTGAGCCTAAAGACAGAATTTTAATTCTTGTATCTTTTTCTCATTTTATTTAAAAGCATATTCCATGGATTCCACTTACGAGGGAAACAATCCATATTTTGGTGGGTTGGCTGGGCTACAGGATTCTGTTGGTAAAATTTATGTTGTGTTTCTATATTCAGTTGCTGGATTAAAAAAATATCATGGTTGGTACCTCTGTGTATCTCAGAATACGGTTCAATATGTTGTCAATCAGGGATGCACATATATTAAAAAAATCTGAATCCTGACTACTCTAATATACTGGTTGTCTCCTGGGTGAACTGTTGTTGAGCTGACTGGCTATGAACATAAATCTCTTACTGCCTTCTGTTGGGTCAAAAATCTATTGTGAAATGTGAGAAAGGCAAAAGCAGGAGTGAGAATCAACAGGACTTGCCTTCTGTAGTGTTCCAAGGCAGAGTCTGGTGAAGCAGTTGCTAACAGCATGCTCTGAAGGGCAGAGCTGTTGTCTTCATGTTGGCGATCGTATTTCCATACCTGCAAAAAATTATCAGAATTCTAGTAGTGATCCAAACCCACTTCTGAAATGCACAGAACAGTACACATGAAATAACTTAAATGAAGTGTAGCTTAAAGGGAAGGCAGGCAATACAGGGGAGGAAAGAAATCTTTTTTACTTTAAGTACTTTTAAAATTATTTGGCTGTTTACTCTGAATTTTAAATGCTTCTTTTGTTGTTGTTTTTAAGTTGCCATGTAATTAATGGCTTCTTATAGCTCTAGGATCCTTCCTTAATATTTTCCTGTGTTGCGAGTGCATGGGTCTTTGCATTTTCATCAAAGTCTGAAATTTACTACCTCAAGCGGGACCTCTGTAGCAATTATTCTGAATTTGGGGTGCGTTGTTTGGTTTGGTTTTAATTTTTATTAATTCCTAGTGGTGTCTCTGTAACAAAAAAAAAAAAATGTAACTAGCAAAAAGTAGTAAAGGCCCAGTACTCCTGAATTAAAAAAGAAAGGGGTTTTGTTTGTTGGCTATCATTGAAACATAAACCCTTAAGTTTTTTTACTTTTTGTCAGGTTATGGTCTGTAACAATTGTAGGTGTTGCTTATAATGTTACATTTATGCTCTTATGGCATGGGTGGGGAGGAAAGGGAGAAGAACTTCTACTAAGTATTTAGGATTAATTTTTTTAGTCGACTCCAATTTAGTAATCCAGGTTTTGCTGGGTTTTCACACTGAAGACGTTGAATGTCTTTTTGTACAGATTCACATCTTCAGTTCTGCTGATTACATATACCAAGCCTACGTATAGCTTATTTTCCACACAGATAATTGCATATGCATTAAAGAATGAAAACATTTGCTTCTGGTAACTGTTACTCTTAGCCTGATTTCTAATAGATCCCAGACTCTTAATTCTGCAAATGTGTCTATGTAGTCTCAGTATGAGTGGGAAAACACTCACTGTTGCAGTGCCCTGTGTTTCACTCCTCTGGATGGAAGTTAGGCAGATGCTGTTCTTCTGCAGGGCTTTGAGTGTTCGGTGCAGTCAACAACTTCCACTTAGGACCTTGTAAACTTCCCTTCCTGCTCCTTGAATGGCATCTTTTGCACCAGGGATTTTTTTTATGTGATTTTGCTAACAATTCTTGTTTTTTCTTTTTTTCAGATGGGAAGTGAACAATCTAGTGGTGATTCTACATTTAGCGAACATAGTAATTCCTCTCGAGTGCCAACTCAGTTTGACTCAGAGTAAGTTGGGTTCACTGATAATGTGATAACAAAATGTTTTTACTAATCTTAGAGGGTCATGTGATCTAGTTCTAAATAAAATCTGTCATAGTTTATTGCAGTATAAAGCCATTTAATTTGAGCTTATATTTCTTAGACTTCAGAGCAAAATTTGTTGTACTTGTGCAATTTTGTTTGAATCCTTAGAGGTGAGCTTATAATAATTTTAGAGCTTTCTGATATATTTATATTTTGACATGAGTAGCTCTTTCAGAAGCATTTTTACTGTGGTGTACACTGAATAACCTCCCTCATTCAGTAGCATTATTTCATGACATTTTTAACACTCATTTTCCTATTGTGACATTCCGGTGAACTCAGTGTAATTCAGTTCTGGTAGTTTCCTGTGCTCCACGTTCTGCTTTCATCTCTTTTTTTTTTTTTTTTTTCATTCATAAATCTTCATTTCCACCAAAGGGAAAATTTTCTTAGTGAAAGAAAATGAACATGCGTAAAGTTTCATTTGTGATTTGGGCACCCTACGTCAAGCCTTTTGTGTCCAGCAGTTAATTTGACTGTAGTGCCACTACCGCTTCTTTTATGTTCTTTGTGCAATTGTAAAGCAAGCCGATAACATACAATGCTAGAGGTGGGTGCACTGCCTTGAAATAAACATCTGTATTTAACCTATTTAATTAAAGAATATAATAGAATATATATCATATAGATATCTAGATAGCATGATATCATATCAGAAGTAGAGGAATGTATTACAAAATGTTACTGTTTTATTAGCTTTTCAGCATAAAGTTTTGTAGTTTAAATCAGTCATGATTGTTAATGCTTTTTCAGGTTTTGCTTTTAAAAACTGTGTATTTTTTTTATGCTGCTTCTTTTTTTGTGGCAATCATTTTATTGATGATCGTGTTACTTTCACCTAAAACTAGTCTACTATTTTTCAATAGCAGCAGTAGTTGCTTTGAAGACTCACCTGTAAAGTTAGCAGAAAAAATGGAAGACATGGCAATATGTGAAAAGCCTTCACCTTCTCAGGTACAGTACGAAAATGGTCTTCCTCATGATTACATTTTAGACCCTGAATAGAGCAAGCTTCTTGTCAGAGTGTAGCATCAGTTTGTTCCTTTGTCCACTAATCACTAGAAAACACATGTGCATTTTTCCTAAGAATATTCAGTACTTTCTTACTGTTAACGATTAGTCATTTACTTCTGTACTGTTGACCAAATGGGCAGTACTCCCAAGAAAGGGGATCAAACTAAGCTTGTATATTTCTGTGGGAAGAATGATGATGTCATACATAGCATATGTGAAAAATTTTAAGCTAAGATATGGCTTCATTCTTATTACATTGTTTATGTAACGTATGAACACATTTATAGACAATTCCTAGCTACATTCTTAGACACATTTTAAACTAAGTGTAGTGAAAATATTCAGGAGGGTTTTTTTTATCTTTTTCATGTAGAGAAACGGACAAAGATCTGCCCTGAAATGTCAAAGGTATGTGTTTGTTTCTAGGTTGCTACCTCCCATAAACTATATTGCAAACCACTTTAGTGTGTCTAAATTGAGGTAAAGAGTTGAAGAGGCCTATTCAGGGTTACAGAGCATGTCTTAATACACATTCATGATTTAAAGCGTTCTGCATTTGAAACACAAGGATACATATTAGAAACACATGTATCTGCATTTTTTTAATGCAGCAGGACAGTGTAATTACTTATCTGTTATGTTTAGAATATGATTGTGCTGTCCCTTTGAAGATAAAGGTTTTGTAATAATAATAATAATAAGCTTGATACCATGAATAAAAACTCCTTTAAGGTTGGGCAACTGGAAGAAATTGTGCTCCAGAACTTTCGCATCTAGCAAAGAAATGCCACTATTGGGAAGTACATTTCTTTTCTCTTGTCACCTATTAGATAAATGGCTCATTATAAGTTTTGCTTTTATCCTTGTTAAAGAAAAATGGCAGCTAATTTTGATAATGCAATAAACAAGGAAGAGAAAAAAAAGGTGTCAGATTTTGATGAAAGTTTGACAGATTTGGACACAAATACCAGTGAGGAGAATGAAAGTCCATACACTGTGGAAAGAAGGTAAGAAGGATTTTTTTTTTTTAATAAGATCTCTGTGGCAATTACAGTATGTAGTGGTCTAGATTTGTTTATTTATTTATAATAGAATGTGGGAAAATACTGCTGTAAAAATAACTTTCAAAGAAAATTGGTATTTGAGTAGTTTTTTCTTTTTTCTGGAAATGTCAAATATAGTATAGCAACTGACATGCAATGATATTCAATGCTTACAACCAAAAGTCATTTGTGTGAAGATGTGAGGGTAATTACCCTACATGCTTTCAAGGGTCAGTTTCCCTTGGTTTTTTTTTTTTTTTTAAATCTTCAAGAGTACGATTTAGGCCTGTATAGGTGTTGAGTGATCCCTGTAGAATATTTCAGCACATGTATTAGATCTGTCAGGATCATTTTTATATCTTGTAAATTTAATGTTAATTTTTTTTTAAGATTTCTCGACAGTTTTAAAAATATAGAGCCTATTGGTGAAGGTGGTTTTGGAAATGTTTTCAAAGCAACAGGAAAGATTGATGAGATAACCTATGCAGTCAAACGAGTTGACTTCACAAAGTACGTACTGTATATTTACTTCTGCTTTTTATTTTAGGACAACCTTAATCAAGAGTTTAGTATTTTGTTTTGTCTCTTTAATAATCCTTGAAGCATTTAAGCAATTTCCATTTTTAATTGTCCATTCTTTCTGGTAAACTGTTTTCTTTATTTCTAAGTGAAGCTGAAAATGGCATGCAACTTTGTTAATTTTTGTATGCACTGGAATAATTTCAGATGCAGCTGTAAAAAAGTAGATTTGTTAAGTTATATTTTCCCTGAACACACTAGCGGTCTGTTTATTAATATTGCAAAATGTGTTTGAAGAAAACTTGCTGACTAATAAAACATTGAAGGCAGCACTGTTACTTTTGACAGGTTACATGGAAAATTTACACATCAGTAATGCATAATGACTATAATTAGGGAAAATAGAGAAAAATGAAAGTAGTACATTTTGTGGTTTGTAATTGGAAAATGCTCTATATGTGACTCATGTAGTCATTATTCTCACACTGTGTTACTTGTCCTTTATAAATCTGAACAGAGAATGATGATCTTAATTTTTTTTTTTTTTTAAAGTAATTTTCTGTAACCAGTACCTAGTGGAGTATTTTGTCAGCAGCTGAAAAACTTGAATTTCTTTTAGGTAATCTATTTGAAAAGTTTCAAGTTGTTGGAGGTACCTGTCCCTTATGTTGTAAAACTGCCCTTCAAATTCTTGCGTTCTTCACAAATACGTTATTTTCATTTGTATTGAAATCCTGAGAACGACACTAAAAATATTCCACTGATTCTTCAAATAAAGACTGCTGATCTGCTGATGGGTTTGAACCTATTTCACTAGGCAATGTTGCAACAACAAGTGCAGGCCAAATTTAGTAATAGTTCTTCATGAGTATTTACACTGACTTCTGTATAAGTAAACAAACTCCACAGAGGTGAAAAGAAAACATGGGTGTTTGCTACATTGTGTTTAGCTGCCTGATGCAACTACACGTTGCAACTGTCTGCTTTTTTTCAGCTTTTTTGAGTGGGTCTTTCATTTCTAATATGGTTAAAACATTTCTGCACTTTGAGTAACTGAGCAGATGAAAGAAAACACACAGAATTTGTAACTGCAATTTTGAACTTGTATGAAGGGCAATATTATGTTATTTTTCTAAATTAATGTAAAACTATCTGTATACTGCTGCTTGATATCATGTCTTTTATTTAACTTAGTATTACATTTTTATAGGGAAATGCCATTTGTTTTTTTTTTTTTTTCTTTTTTTCCCCCTCCAAACAGGAATGTAAAGCGTGAAGTAACATTACTTGCAAGACTTGACCACAAAAACATAGTGCGGTATTATTGTAGCTGGAAGGGGGATGACTATGTAACTTCTCCAAACTCAAGGTAACTACAAGATAGTAGTTTGCACTCATAAACTTGTATGCTATAGTGAATTTTGTGTTGTAAAAAGAAAGGCTGATGATTGGTTATAGATAATTATATAAACGCATACACATACTTACTTACTTACTGTTAGGAAAAAAAGCACAGTACTTTTCAGCAGCAGGTCGTGTGTAATTAAGTATATTTATATCTCCTTTTCCTTGATGAATAAGATACATTATGTAATTTTTATCTTTCTCCTCTCTCTTAATATGCAGAACTTGCTGAATCTATAGAGGAATGTAAGAACACAGAACTCAAAATTTGGGCCTAGAATTAACAACAGAAACTAGAAACTTGTCTTGCAGTTGGCTGCCAAATTCCTGATTGGAATTTTCCTTTTTTTAATAAGTACTGGTCAGCCAGTAGTTCTTATAGATTTAATTATTTCTCTTAAGTTAGCATTTTAACCATGATGCCTGAAACAGTTTTGGTTGCTGAGAACAGAAATAAAAAATGAAATGCTCTTTCATTTAGAGGTAGTCTTGCAACACTAAGACTTCTGGGAAGACAGTGGTGAGAGTTTTACTCCTAAGTTAGGTTCTTAACTTTCCAAAGCTTCTGTGGTAAGCTTTTTTCACTAGCTGTAAATTCATACCCTCCAGATAGGTGGCTACACTAGAGCCATAAAATATTAATGGATTCAAAGTTATGGTTGGCATGATACCTGTCCAGTGTGCTCAGTAAATAAGGAATAAAACATGGGAAGAGAAGTCTCGTATCAAAACCCAACCATTAATATGTTGGAGTCTCAGTATCCCTTATGCATTTTATATTGAAGAGTTGTTGGGTGAAAGACAGGAAAAAAGTCCTCAAAGCTGAGGTCCCAGCCTGGAATTCCACTTAGTGCCCTGACCTCAAGGCTACAGAGAGTCCTGAGCCATTTAATGCTTGTTCTTCCAGTGCCTCAGGCGGCTTTATTCCAGGGCACTCAGATCACACAGTGCGTGTAGGAAAAAGCGTTGCCTCCTCCTGTTCCTATCGTCCTTCCCCTCAGCGTCTCCAGCCTCAGCCTATCCTATGGGCCGATGGTGAGGGAACTCTTCTGGAAAGTGCGAGGCTGTCAGGTGGATGAATATATTTCATCTAGATTTCCAGCTCTCAGAATGGTTTCTCTAACTTGCAGACTGATGTCAAAAATGGCCACCGCCCTACCTTCTTGAAGGGACAGAGTTTGAAAGAATGTGATCATTCTGGGTAGGAGAGGAAGGCTAATGCTGTGTTTGTTGAGCAGAATAGAGAATACCTGCCAGGGACTTGCAGCAGTTCCTAGAGGGCAAGACGGGAGCCAAGGACAGTGCTATTTCTTCCTGTATATGACATGCCTCTAGATATGAGAGCATAATTTGGGCACTCAGAAAACTTCCAGTATGAACAAGGAAGCAAGCAAAACGTTAGGAATATTCCAGGGGTATGTGCCAACTGAGCAGGGATTCTTTGGTTTGCAGTTCTGTGTATTTATCTAGTACAAATTGGTCTAGGATCTTTTTAAAATCAAGACACTTGCAGTCTTTGTTTTGGGGACCTCCAAAAATAATAATTAACAAAAAGGTTTTTTTAAAGAAGAGGAACCTGAGAATCACTGATGGTTTGGGAGGAATTGTATCTTGCAAATTTCAAGATGGTATATAATTTTCTTCTGCAGGCAGAAGTCAGGCCAACGCATTACCTGTCTTTTCATCCAAATGGAATTATGTGAACAAGGGACACTGGAAAACTGGATTGAAAAAAATAGACTAGACCGAAAGTATCATGAGATGGTCCAAAACAAATTTTTACAAATTCTGGAAGGAGTGGAATATATTCATTCTAAAGAGTTAATTCATCGAGACCTCAAGGTAAGTAGGATAGGTAATTTAAAAAAAAAAAAAATAGATAAAAATAGCACTTACTGGAATTTCAGAAAATGTTAGATTGTTCTAGTCTGTGTTTAGTCTATTATGTACCCTAGTAGTGTGCCTTTTCTGATATTGCTAGTGAGTAATTTTTTTTTCAGCAACTGGCTGGACTTCATCCTAAAAGCAGAAGGTAAACTGGAGGATGTCAGAATGCAGAAGTTCAAAAAATCAGCAGTCATCTGTTAACAGGCATTTTCAGTGTATTATGTGTTACTGGGCCACAAGGCTGCCTATTGGAAAAAGAAATACTAACTTTTCTTGATGAAATAATTAAAAGAAAGTAAGTGAAAAGTTGAGTCTAGGAAGTTTGCTCTTCCCATATTGTAAAGGGATATTTTATCTATCCTAATACATACTGTGTTTGATAACAACATACTCTAGTTGCTCTTGTATCAGGTATGCATACAAATATTTGAATGCTACTTTTTGGATAGAATTTCAGTCTCCACAAGTGCATAATCATAGAATCATAGAATCGTTTAGGTTGGAAAAGACCTTTAAGATCATCCAGTCCAACCATTAACCTACACTACCAAGTCCACTCTAAACCAATCAAGGGTAGACTAGACTAAACCATGTCCCGAAAGTGCCACATCTACCCGTTTTTTGAACGCTTCCAGGGATGGTGACTCCACCACCTCTCTGGGCAGCCTGTTCCAATGCTTGACTACCCTTTCCGTGAAGAAATTTTTCCTAATTTCCAACCTAAACCTCCCCTGGCACAGCTTGAGCCCATTTCCCCTTGCCCTATCGCTTGTTACTTGGGAGAAGAGACCAGCACCCATCTCACTACAACCTCCTTTCAGGTAGTTGTAGAGAGCGATAAGGTCTCCCCTGAGCCTCCTCTTCTCCAGGCTAAACAATCCCAGTTCCCTCAGCCGCTCCTCATAAGGCCTGTGCTCCAGACCCTTCACCAGCTTCCTTGCCCTTCTCTGGACACGCTCCAGCACCTCAATGTCTTTCTTGTAGTGAGGGGCCCAAAACTGGACACAGTATTCCAGGTGCGGCCTCACCACTCACCAGATTTTATTTCTATATAAAGATTATAAAGGACAAAGTTGCAAGCCTTCAGGGCTTCATATGCCAGCTGTAATGCTGCTTACAGAGTTTTAAATCACTCTGTGAAAAAGTCATTACTGCGGTGGTGTTCCTAAAAACAGCTGTAGTGGGCCACGTTACATGTTGATCTAGGATGCTGTTTGCCTTGTGCAGCGGCTAATTCCAAACACCTAGAGAGTATTAGAGCTGAGAGATGATACAGTGATGCTGTCCTTGATGCATATTCTCAAGACTTCCAGTAACCTGAAGTTTATGGACTTCCTGAACCAGAGATTGAAATCTTCTGCATTTTGCATTCACAGTGTAGTTCCAGATCATGTTCACTGCCCACTCATAGAATCTTGTCTTATGGACAGATACATTCATATCTTCTAGAGCTTTTCTATCAGGCTTATTGCTACAATACTGGAACAAACCACAAATATGCACTCATTATTTTCCCTAGATGCCTGGGAAAAAGAGGCCTAATAAGTGCCTTCTCTCCTCACCCATTCATTCTTAGCTCTTCCCACTCTATGTGCTTTGTATTTTCTTGCTCCTTCAGCCGTACTTTATAATCTCAGCTCAATCTCCTACTTTTCCCTATTCCTATGAATCTGCTGCCCCTGTCCCTTATCCATGGCATCTGGCTGTAACCTGCTTCCAAGTCCTACTGCTAACTTGTCTGTCTGCATTTGAATTCAGAAACTTTTCTCCCCCCTTTGATCTGCTGCCAACTTAGATGCTTGGCCATCTGAGATCTCCATGTCCCAGAATCAAAGCTGCAGGATAGGTTCAAGCTGAGATGAATCCCATTTGTGCCTGGTATGAACAGAGTCTTCAAATAGTGTAGCCAGGTATAGGTACTGTATTAAATGTGTGTGGACATGGTCAGACTTGAACAGAAGAACTGCATTGGGCATTCTTGACACAAAGATCTGTTCCTGTTAAATATTAAGTCTATCCGGGCCTTAGAGTCCACTGCAGCTTTTTGAGTAAAAGACAGCATAAGGCTATTTTGTTTTGTTTTAATAACATTCAGAAATGGAGCTTCTTTATCTTCTTTGGGAAACTTCATCCAAGCATATACAATTCTGTTTTTAGTTGCTTATGACTTCGTCAAATTTAAAAATGGCAAGTTCAGTGGGAACTTAAAAGTGATACTGTGAGATGCCTGTAGTAAGCCCTAACTCTGGAATCGACTTACTACAGATAATCCTGCTGTGCCTAGGAGAAACTGTGATTTGAGTGGAATTCCATGTGAGCCTAAATGCTTTGCCCAAGTCTATCAAATCCCAGGGCTAGGACTGAAGACTAAAAAGCACTCTGGGATATGAAATGTTATATGCACAATGTCTTTGAAGAGCATTTAAGCATGATACAGTTATGACTGAGCTAGTGGAAAAAAAAGTTGCAGTTACTGTGGCATGTACTACTTTAAATTTATTTTGTGTTTTTAAAAATCAATTGAACTTCTTTCTGTGCCCACCCTATCAATTTCTTAATGCTAATTTCTGTGAACAATTATCCAATTTTATGGGGAGCTCTTCTGTGGCTGATTATGCTTGACGATAAACCTTGGTCATATGGTGTTTTTTTTTTTTTAATTAATATATATATATAGCCTCAGAATATATTTATATCACATGAAGATAAAATAAAAATAGGCGACTTTGGTCTTGTGACTTCTGTGGCATATGGGACTCTGACTGAGAACACAGGAACAACATCATATATGGCACCAGAACAGGTAATTATCCTGATATGTTAGTGTCTCTGTAACTTGATTTGCATTATAAACTCGGCATTGGTGGTTGTCAGTCCTAATCTCAGTACTAAACCAAGTTGCCTGAAGTTCCCTGGTGTGACTATATATGAGGATAATTATTCTGGAGAAAGCTGTCTGCAAGTGTGGCCATTTTATTTCGCTGTGCTAACCTACAGGGTCCGACACTGCGTGCTGTAAGGAATGCTCTTGCAAAACCAGGCTGCCAGCCATGTATTTCAATTTTAACTTAGGACCTCTGTTAACTGTGGCATTTGCGTTCTTCTATTTGTTTCATTATTTGTGACAGAGAGGTATCGGCATGCCTTATCTGTATAGGTCTGTAGAAGTCTTAATTTCAGTGTGTTTAATGTGACACAGTAGTCACTGTTTAACAGGTCTGTAGCAGAAAGTTTAACAACTAATAAGATTAAGTTAGGGCCACTCCTGAAGCCTTGGGGTGGAAATTTCTAGTGACTTCAAATTTTGCTTTAAGAAGTGCTGTCGAGTTGGAGTTGATGTCTGTATTGTTCTTGTTCTAATCTTTGTAGGTCGGGGGTGAATATGGAAAGGAAGTAGATATTTATGCATTGGGATTAATTTGGTTTGAAACTCTTTCGGCATTCAGTCGTCATGAGAAGAGTAAGGTACGTAATCTTTAAATTTAAAAAAAACCAAAACCCTCTCACTGTCATTGTTTTGCCTTGTTGCTTGTATCGCATGCTAATTGCATGCTAGAACAACCTGCATATCTAGAGTACTGGCTCTATTCACATTTTCCCCTTGATTTATTTCTGTAAGGCCCATAAGTCCTCACACCTCAGCGGAGATGTAATAACTGAAGTAAAGAAATATTACTGGTTTTATTTCACTTCTGTCCAGTGACATACACATTAAAGCCTTAGCATGCTAAAGAATAATGTCTAGCAAAAAGGATTTCAAGTTTCTGATAAATCTTTTTGTTTGATCAGATTATTTGAAGGGAGTACTTTTCTAATTTTAGAAAATAAAAAATTATGAATGGGAGAGCTTTGTCTCTGCCATGCTCTTGTCTTCACTGCACAGTGGAGCAAGAACAAAGCTTCTATAAAGCCAAAACACTTGCAGTTTTCCAAAATGAAAACAAAAGTGATTTGGAATATGTAGATTTAATTGAAGAAGATGTTACTTCAAAAAGAAAACCAGTGTTACTTAAGCTTTTTTTGAAAAGGTGTTTTTTCCATGTCTTTTAGTTTTTCTTGGTACTTTGCACATTATTAGTGTAATGGCTCATTGCTCAAACCTATGTGTTTGCAGGACAGCAATGTAGCTGCTATCTTGTCTGAAGTAATTGTAAGATATATGTACATGGTTGGACCCAGAAGCTCTTGAACGCTATTAGCTTGGTCGTTTTGCCAATATGAGATGACTATACCAATGTGTCCGCTCAACTCACGGGTTCAACTTGGCTCTGTTTAGCTACCTTGTATTTTCTAATGCATCTTGTTCCTGCTCACAGCTGACTGCAGATGTCTTCACAGTCCCACAGTGTTTACAGTCAAAAGGGCAAGACCAATTATTTAGTCTTGTTTCCTTAAAGCATAAACATCTTGCATCTGTAAGCAAGCAGGGAAGTCATATGGATGGAAAGTCCTAGGATGGGCTTCAGCTGCTCCATCAGCTTAAAAAATAACTTCACTTAACGGAGCATGATAAACTCTGTTGTATGGTGCTGGCAAGCCCTGCTGAAAGAACATCATGCAAAAGCAAAGTTGAGGATTATGAGCTGAGTAACTGGTTCAGCTGATGATCACCAGCAGGTAGGGTCACAGCCCTAAAGCTACTGCTGAAGAATAGGGGAGAAAGCTTGAAGTTCATGGGAGCTGATGTTTTATTGGATGCTGGTTATAAGGGCTTGCTAAGCCAGGCTATAGCATCCATAAGACTAGCTAATGAATCAGGATGCATAGCTAAGTGTGCAAGAATATGACCGTCATCTTCTTCAGGCACACATTACACTAGTTAACAGCAAAGTGAATCATGTGGACTGCTCCATTTACCCAGAAAGCTACATCATGTGGAAAAAAATAGTTGCTACCCAGAAACAGTTTCTGAAAGCATGTAACTAAAAATCCTCTGTGTGTTACTTGCTTTGAACTCCACGTAGCATTTTCTGCCGTGATACAGAAATAAGTGTGTGGTATTGAACAAAGTAAAAGGGAGGAAGCACACCTGCTTGGCTTGCAAATAGTAACATCCAAAGTAGGAAATTCAGTTGTCTTGCTTTTTTTTTTTTTTTTGTGGCAAGAGGCTATAAACCCACTACTTTTAGGGAGAGAAGGATAATGGTTCTGAAATAGAGAGGATTGCTGAAACAAACACAGCATTGTAGAGTGTGAAGCTTTGAAGCTTAAAAAGGCACAACAGTTGATGAAAAGACCATAAACCCAAAACAAAGTACACCTAAACGTAAAAACTTCCAAACTGTTTACAGTTACTTTCTTTCTGAAGCCTTACCTTTTTTGTAGATTTGTATTTTCCTAATTACTTCAGTAAATTATATGGGTCATAAAGAGATGCGAAATATAATAAATGAAAACATACTGAAGCTGTTCTCTTTTATGAATTTCAGGTATGGCGTGATGTTAGAGAAGGTAAACTTCCAAAGGACTTCACCAACCAATTTATAACAGAGGTATGGGATTTTAATACATTATTTCAGTTAGTTTATTTACTCATAAAAAATAATTTATTGACATTTAATTTCTTTTTGCAGGCACCCATAATCAAAAAGATGCTTTCGAGAGATTCCTCAGGAAGGTACTCTGCATCTGAAATACTTCATTTTTTAAAGTCTGTTCATAAAGTCAACTCACTTAAAACTCATACTCAGTAAATGCCCTTTTAAAAGGCTTTCAGACTGTTTAAATCCAGAGTTTGATGTCTCTTGAAACTGATGAAATAACAGTAAGTGTCAGAAGCAACAGCAAGACTTAAGATATGTCTTTTCCTTGGTGTTTCGCCTTCCTGCCGTTGAGGAGTTCATCAGCCAAAATGGTCACATCACAGTTTACACCCATCAGCTGCAGATCAGGATGGCATACTTCTGCAAGCAATCACTTGCGATTTTTACCTGGAAACACAGGTTCTGGATGAGCTGAACTATATTGCACAATAAGTACAGGAACCTAGTCCTTGTCTGCTAGACGATTAAGTTGATGTGGTGCTAGCTGGCCTGTGGCCAATCTCTGTATGTGTGCTCTTAACATGTGCTGCATCCATTATCAGTTGAGGTTATCTATTGCTTTCCATGGAAGAAGTGCCATCTTGGGGTATGCGACTCAAACCTTTCTGATTTGTTCGGTGATGTTTTTAGTAATTTAATAGAACAGACCCGTTAATGCCAAGACTAATTTTGGTAGAAAAGGTACTAGGAATAGGTGTGGGTTATTCTTCACTGAATTTAGTTCTTTGAGGTGAAATTTCTTATCTCTACACACCTGTCAAACACCTAGCACCTTCAGTGCTACAGAATTTAAAAATACATACTTTTAAAGTAAGTATTCCTTGAGAATTTAAATGTTAAGCATTCAGCTTCTAGGAAATCTAGTTTAGATTTGTTCTAAACTTTTGAAAACCTTAAGTTTTCAGTTTTCTTTTTCCTGAAAGGAACACTTAAGATTTTCTTAATATAGCAAAATTCTCCAGTTTCCTCCATTTGAAATCCTGTGCTGAGACAGCACCTTACATATTCTCTCCCATACTGCTAGGTTTTAATCCCTTGTTGTAATACTGAGGCATGCCTAACCCTTTGTCCTGGTTTCAGCTGGGAGAGAGTTAATTTTCTTCCCAGTAGCTGGTGTAGTGCTGTGTT